TTTTAAGGAAACTGGGAATGGCAGCCTGGGTTTGCTGCTGCTTTTTGAGCTCCAGCTGTAAACTGAGACTCTGTGAATTGGCCTGGAGCATTTTGTGCCCTGAGCTGGGGAGGGCAGACAGGGATAAAAGCAGCTGAATCATAATAATTGGGGTACTGTGTATCCCAGCCAGGCTGAACACGTGGCAGCCTAATGCCAGGAGGGCTTTTAGAGCTTTTCCAGCCTCCCTCGGGCAAGGGGCCAAATCTTTGGCTTTCAGCTGCTCCTCCCTGGCAGCTGAGCAGCTCTGGGTCCAACTGCTCCGTGCTCAGAGGTGAGTTAATTAAAAGAGCACCTGTTAAATCAGAATTAAACCAGAATTAAAGCGGAGTCTCTGCACCCTCGCGAGTGGAAGGGTTGAATAAAATCCCTCAGTGCAGAGTCGAGGTGTCCAGGTGCAAGGAGAACCTGAATGGGACCTTGTTTGGGAGCCAGGCTTGGCCTTTGGAAAGAGGGAACTTTGGGAATGAGCCTAATTAGAGCCGCTGGGAGGAAACAAAAGACACTTCTGAGCTGCCCCCGGGACAGATTCGGGGCCACAGGGGTGTGACTGTCACAGTGACTGTCGCAGCCTCTTAAATGGGAATTATCTGCCCACGGAGCTTTTTTTTCCAGCAGACCAGAGTATGTTAATGGCCGTAATTTGCCTCCTCATTAACTCGTTAATTTGCAAATTTCGGTTGCTCGCAGTGGACTTTTCAGCCGTTAAAATGAATTAGTGATGATTTGCAGTTAATCTCGTTACTGTGCTTTAGGTCCTCGGTGTAGCTACTTAAAACTATTTGATTTAATAGCAATAGTGCCAAGTTTAATAAAGAACTTTGCATCAAGAGCTTTACCTGTAACACGTTTTGTTCATGGTTGCACTCAATGATCTTAAAAGTCTTTTCCAACCCAAACAATTCCGTGAGTCTGTTTAGTGTCTGAAACTGTTTAGATCCAACTCTTTTTAATTTTTTTTTAAATATGAATTTGTTTCCAAAAGGGGATGAACAGGATGTACATCCAGCACGTCTGTCCCAGCAGGTGTCTGGTTCTCCAAAAGTTTCTTAGAATTCAGCTGTTCCTTTTTTAAATTATTCTTTGATTTTTTTTCTCCATAAGCACAGCTGAATGTTTTAATGTCACAGGTTGGTCAAATGCTGGAGGGAGCCACGAGATTTCCAGGACATGTGCTGGATGGGGGGGAGGTCGAGGGATTTGTAAGAGAGAAAACCCGGGAGGAACCTCAGCAAAGCAAGGGAGGATTTTTGGAGGGTGGGAGATCAAGGTGTGGGGGGGAACAGGGGGGAAACAGGGGGAAATGTGATGTTTGTGTGTGTGAAGAGTGTGACATGATCTGAACATTGCAAGAGCTGTGCAGCTCTGAGCTTGGCTGCCTTGCAGACAAGTGTTGTTGACACTCAGCTGGACTCTGGTGCCTCACAGAAAACTCCCTGAGCCCCTTGGGGTCTGTCCCTGTCTCAGCCTGGTGGGTTCCTGGGGTTGTTGAGGTCTCAGAAGGCCAGGGGTGCTCATTGTCTCGTTCTCTTGCAGGTTCCTGCAGGTGAGAACAGCTTTTCTGTGCCCTCTGCTCTGCTGGAGGACGGCCACGGTGAGCTCGGGGCTGTGGGAGATGCTCCAGCTCAGCCCCCTCAGATGACACAAACTGTGCTAAACATCTGCTCTGTGCCCAACTCCCACTTCATAAGAACTTCTCCCACCTTCAGAATTTTTTGCAGTTGTAATTTTAAGACATTTGTAACCCCTCTTTGCTCTGGTTGAACACTTTTTTTTAAGTGTGGCTTCCTCACCTTTTAACCCAGACTGACGCTCTGCTGGGCCCTGTGAGCACGAGCTGCCCGTGGTTTAAAGCTTTAAAGCCTCACTCTAATTGCATTTTTTTCTCCCTCCTCTGCTCCCTCAGCTGCACAGAACTCGGAGAGTGAGGCAGAAGCTCAGAAACCCGTGGGCACAAAGCAGCAGAACGTGGGTGCCAGAGCAGCTGCCCAGGCTGAGACCTCCCCACCCAAAGCCGTGAAGGTAACACAGCTCTTCAATCTCAGACATTCAGGGGGTTAAAAACAGCTGAAATTCCTGTTTGATGCTGAAACCCCTCAATGTGGGCACAAAGGCCTGGTAGTAAGTGGATCCATGTCTGGTCAGGCTGTGCTTGTGAGGGAATAATTTAATTTAAACACCTCAGAAGGGGGTTTTCCTCCAGAGGTTGGGTCAGGAGTTGCTTGTTGTCCCACAGACTCTGCTCCTCCTCGGTGTGGGAGCAGGGGTTGAGCAGGGGGTGGTGGCAGGGGCTTGTCAGTGCTCCCTGAGCTCCTGGGAATGATCTCCAGAGCCTTCAGATCTCCAGAGACTTGGCTTCCCACCCTCCTCTTCCAGCTGCTCCCGAGGGAGCTGCAGCTGGGAGCAGCTCCATAGTCAGGGCACTGACACTGGAAAGGTCAGCCTGGGCTTTCCGAGGGGTTTTTGATGTTCCAGTTTCTCCAGGGCAGACTTTGGGAGAACTTTGGGCCAGGAATGTGTTTGTTAAGCTGATTTAGACCCCGACGGGCAGCGCTGGCCGTGGTGATCCCGCTGCAGCTCCCAGTCACATGAGCTGTCTGCAGTTGGGTCCCCCTGGGCTGCCACAGACTTCCTGGCTCCCTCCTGAGGAAACAACTGGGCTTTTGTTGCTTTTCCCCATCTTTGGGAGGGACAGCACTGACCTCAGAGATCAGGGAGATGTGGCTTCCCAGCGTGCCAGGGTGGGTGAGGAGCTGGAGCTGCCTGGAGGAGTTGTGTGGTCCCTGTTCCTGGTCCTCTCTGCTCTCTTTATATTATTAGAACCATTTTTAGCCTTTTTGCCTTGTTACTGCTTTAGATGCTGCACTGTGAGATAGAAACCCAGCTGCTTTTTATTCACCTGAGGTTCCTATTTGTCTCTTCCAGCTTCTGTCTCCTGCTCTTGGTTCCTAACCTCTCCTCCTGCCTCCTGCTTCCCTCCTAATGTGAGCTCAACTCTCAGCTTTCTCTCCAGTCCTTTTTTTTTTACGTTTATTGGGCCTCTCCTTCCTCCTGTAGCTCCTTTTTGTAGCATCCCAGGAGGGAATTCCTGTCTCTTCACCCCCCAAAAACGCCTCTCCACAGACATAGGGCCCATTGGGTGCAAGTAAGTTCCTCTCCTTGGATGGGGGGTGATTGCAGAAGGACGTGCCAGGACCCACCAAGGCCATCATGGAAAACTTAAACCTTCAGGGAGAAGACTTTTTAATGGCCAAGCAAATTGTTGCTGCCTTGCTCCCTGTGGCAGTAAACTCTTCTTTTTTTTTTTTGAGATTTCCTTTAGTGACTCAAAATTCAGAGTTTTCCACCTGGAAATTGTGGATTCTTTTTTCAAGAGGAATTCTGAATTTCAGTAGCCAAGCTGTGGCAATCAGAACTTTTTAATCTACTGTAACCTCAAGCAATGCCATTTAAAATGGAATTAAACTGGCAGCAAACTTTCTGGCTGTGACAAAAACTGGCCCTGCCCTCAGCAATCTGCCCCCTCGTCCCGTAACTTTCGTTCCTGACCATTGTTCCTGGACTGTTATAAATAAATTGCTGTGATTATGTCTTCCTGTGACCTTCCTGTTTTTTTCTTCAGCCATCAGATTTTTTTTTTCCCTTAAAGCTTTTTGTAAGTTTGTAGTTTGTAGGAGGTGATTCTTTGTCAAAGAAAAGCCACGCTCTGAGTGTGTCTGGGCAGGGTGTGGAGCCTGAGCTCTCTCCAAATTAGTTGTAATCAACTAATCAGCCTCAAACTGCCAATTTTCTCCACTGTGTTATTTAATTTTTCCTGCAAAGTACCTTCCCCCCTTGGCCAGAGTTTCACTCCTTTCCTCTCCCACCCTCCACCTTTTGAGGCTGCTTCAGCTCTTCCAGTGAAAGGTGTCCCTGCCCACAGCAACCAGATGATCACCAAGGTCCCTCCCAACCCAAACCATTCCAGGATTCAGTTTTTCTGCACTGTTTTTATTCTTTTTGGTAAGTCTCATATTGACTGTAATTCAATGTTTCATCATTTTTCCACCGAGAAAAGCTGAGGTTGCAGGGAGAGGTCACACAGCTTTTGGGAACTGGCTCAGCTCTGGTGTTTTCATTGTTCTCTCCCAGCTGTTGCTCAAGTGGAGCTCACTGGGGTAAAATCCTGGCTGGCTGTGGAGCCACAGCAGCCCCGGGGGTCTGGTGGAGCCTCTTCCTCCCTCGTTGCCCACCAGAGCCCACTCTCTGCAGTTTGGGAGAGCTCAGGAGGCCACTGCATTTTCCAGCTCCCACATTTCCCTCTCCTTCCCGCAGAAATTCCAGTTGCCAATGAAGGAAACCTGTGTTGGGTGTCAGAAGACCGTGTACCCCATGGAGAGGCTCTTTGCCAACCAGCAGGTGTTTCACATCAGCTGCTTCCGCTGCTCCTACTGCAACAGCAAGCTCAGGTACCCTTGGGAACTGCTTGGGAAGGGGGTTTTCCTCAGCTGAGCTGGAGGCCACACTGCAGCCATCCCAGGGGTGGTTACACAGGCCTGGTGCTGCACTTTGATGCAGTTTCTAAATTTTAATGTGATTTTATGTGTGTGGGGGGGGAAATATGTCCAGCTCGGTGAGGAATTCTTGGAAAGAGCCCCGCAGGATGCAAACCCTGGGGGCCGTGAGCTCGTTCTGAACGGGTTGGAAGAGTGGGATTGAGTCTCTTCAGTGACACAACTGAAGCAGAGTTGGTGGCCCTGAGCTCGTTCTGAACGGGTTGGAAGAGTGGGATTGAGTCTCTTCAGTGACACAACTGAAGCAGAGTTGGGGGCTGTGAGCTCCTTCTGAATGGATTGGAAGAGTGGGATTGAGTCTCTTCAGTGGCACAGCTGAAGCAGAGGCCTGTGTTGGTGGCCCTGAGCTCTCTAATGTTTGACTCTGTTTTCCCACCCAGCCTCGGGACGTACGCGTCACTGCGGGGGAACATCTACTGCAAACCCCACTTCAACCAGCTCTTCAAATCCAAAGGCAACTACGACGAGGGCTTCGGGCACAAGCAGCACAAGGAGCTGTGGGTGGGCAAAACGGAAGGTGAGGAATCCCCGGAGAAAACCGTCCCCGGGGTGAACACGACGGAAGCTCCGCAGAGCCCCGGGGTGGAGGACACCCCCATTGCAAAGGTCGGGGTGCTGGCAGCGAGCATGGAGGCAAAAGCTTCGGCCGTGCCCGAGAGAGAAGAGAGACCGGCAGAAACCAAAAAGCTGCGGATCGCTTGGCCCCCTCCCTCCGACCAGAGCGTCCAAGGAAGTGCCTTAGAGGAGGGCATCAAGGTCCTCAAACCCAAGTGGCCCCCGGAGGAAGAGGTTTCCAAGCCGGATGTGCAGGAGGACGTGGATCTGGACCTCAAGAAGTTGAGGAGGTCCTCCTCGCTGAAGGAGAGGAGCCGCCCCTTCACGGTGGCGGCCTCGTTCAGAACGGTGTCCGTGAAGGGCCACAGGGCAGAGAACTCGCCCTCCCCTCCCAAAGCTGAGAGGGACACGCTGAGAAAGGGGGAGGAACTGGACAGAGAGGAGAAAAAGCAGAAGGAAAAGAAGGTCGAGCACAGGAACGTCGAGAAGAACGTGGAGGAGGAGCAGGAGTCGTGTGGTGTCAGAACATCCGAGCTCGGCGTCGTGGAGAACGGGCAGGGGGGTGTGGAGACAGACGAGGAGGAACACGCTGGGGGAGAGCCGGAAATCCCAGAGGAAGAGCTCCCGGAACCAAATTCTCCCAAACGTTCCAGCCTGGCCCACGTGGTGACTGCCAAGGAGTCCTCCCCGAACCAGCACCGCAAATCCCAGGACGTGGGTTTCTGGGAGGGCGACGACGTGGAGGATCTGTCGGTGGAAGAGCAGATCAAAAGGAACCGTTACTACGAAGACGAAGATGAGGATGATGATGACGACGAAGAATAAATTGGCCTTTTTTTACTAGAAAACTTGCTGCAAGGTGCTGGGCCTTTGGAAATGGGTGTTTTTTTTAGCTTTAACGAGCAGCTCTCCTCCGTGAAGCGATGCCACACTGCACGTCAAGGGAATCCACGTCCAAATGATCTCAACTGGGAAACTCTGGAAGCCTTCAAAGGGTCTCTTTGGGTGCACGGGAACGAGTGTCCGGCTGTGGGACACCCTCAGCAGGTAGAGAACGGGGCTGTCCTGTGCTTGTCTCATCCCTTTGAGCTTAAATATTCCACTAACAGTTCATGGAATTCCACCAACAGTCCATGGAATTCCACCGACAGCCTGTGGAATTCCGCCGTGGTGATCTGGGACAGGCCCTCTGGAACACGCCACTTGTACCACTACAAATGCTCCTGCAGTGCTTAGGGACCAACTTCAAAGGGACTTTCTGGCCTGCTTTAAAAAAAAACGGTCACTTAATGCACTTTAATACATGCAAAGGGCACAACTGGGCTTTTATATGATTCTTTTTTTTTTAATAATAAAACCATTTCCGTGCGTGGCGTCCGACGACGGAAGCGTCTGGAAGCGAGTGCAATGTGAATGTTGTGTCTCAGCCCCTCTGTCCCTGCCCAACTGGAACGGTGCCCGTTGCTGGACCCACGTGTATTTTAGTGCTTTCCCCGGAGCTGTGCCGGCTGCCAGGTCTCTTTTGAGGACAACTGAACACTTTTTTGAGCAGCCTGCAGGGCATTACTTCTGCATTTCATACTCATTTGGAGTTTTTTCTTTTTTTGTTTGTTTTGGTTTTGTTGTCTTTTTTTTGTTTTTGTATCAAGCTGCCATAAATCTTTTCCTTACAGGTGTGAAATTATGCTGCATTGCAAAAACAAAATCTCTGGAATCAACCAGCGTTGAGGCTTAGAACGTTTTTAAACTTGACTTTGTTTATTTTACAAATAATAAATTCTTGAATGAGGGGGGGGAGGAGGAGGAGGAGGAAGAGGCCCTTTTGTATTAGCTTTTATTTGTACTGTACTCTCAAGAGGATTAGCTCTTACCTATACTTGAGGTGTAAAATATTCTGCTTTTCTTAACAGTTCTGCTGCCGAAAAACCCTTCAATAAAGTTCGGTCATTTACATTAAAATTGAAGCCTGGGTTCATCTCCTGTGGGAATCATGGAATTATCCTGGAATGGTTGGGGCCAGAGGGACCTTAAAGATCATCTCATTCCCACCTTCCACTAGCCCAGGTTGCTCCAACCTGGCCTTGGACACTTCCAGGGGTGGAGCATCCTCTGGGAAATGCATTCCAGGGCCTCCCCACCCTCACAGAGAGGAATTTCTTCCCAAAATCCCATCTAAAATCTGCTGGCACTTTGAAGCCACTTCCCCATGTCCTGGCACTCCAGGCCCTTGGAAACAGTCTCTCTCTCCCCCTTTCCTGCAGGTTCCCTTCAGGTCCTGGAAGGGCCACAATTAGGTCACAATCCCAATTCTCCAGCCCCCCCAAGTCCTTCTCCCCAGGTCTGTGAAGGGATCGAGGGAGAAGACGGGTGAATTCCCGGTGTTCTTACTGGAATTCCAGCGTTGTCACTGGAAGCCAGCCCGGGATGGGGATGGTGCCACTAGGTGACACTGTGTGTCCGTGTTTCCCAGAGGCAGTTTCTGCTCTCGAATTCAAGAAAACGTAGAACAGGGATTAGAACAGAAGGAATAAGGACATCCAGGGATTTTTCACTTCCACTCCTGGCTCCAGGTGGCTCTCCAGGGCAGCTGAGGACAACTGAGGGCTTTTTTTTGTCCCCTTTCCCACCAGCTGCTTCGTGTTGCAGTTCCCAACTTGAGCCTGAGGTGGGTTTGGTCAGGAGAGATGGGGATAAAGAGCCAGAAGAAAAGCAGGGAAAGTCCTGCAGCAGCGTGAGAAGCTGCCCATGTGTGTGCCAAGGATATCAGGAGGGGAAAAGCAGCCCTGCTGCCCAGCTGGGAGGTATTGGCAGCTCCACAACCGACTGCTCACTGTCCTTTCTTTTTAAGGGAGAAGTGAGACGTGACTTGCACAGGCCGAGGGAAAACTCCAAAAGCTGCTGTGCAATCTTCTGTCACCTTTCTGTCTTCCATTCGGTGTCAGATTTCCGTAAATGACGAAGCAGTTGACTGGAAATTGTGCTGTTTGAAAAGGGAGGGGAGAATATTCCATGTGGACTTGGATTTATGGAATGTGCCAACCGCCTGTTTCTTAGGAGACGCGATTGGATTTTACGGCGTCTCCCCGGTTACGTGATAGTGAAGCAGCACTGGCTGCACTTAGCAGAGATTTTAATCACAAAATCAATATTTCTGGTTAAATCTGAGCCGTCTCTGAGGTACCAGGACCCTCACCTGGTCACTCAGACCAGCAGAGCATCTTCCAGGAGAAATCAGCACTGCTTTGATTAAAAAAAAAAAGAAGTGAGCAGCTCATTAATTACTCCATCCTTGAATCTATTAGTTATGGGAGTATTTGAGTGCTTAATGGGCCGTTTAATTTGCTCTCTGACTGGACAGGTGCCAGAAGAGCCATTAAATGAAGGATGGATCGTTTGTGCATGAGGTGGTTCATGTCAAACCTCACCACGAGCTAAAAGGAATATGTTAAACTTTGCCAGCCCAGCGTTTGTGTCGCTGTAAATGTTAAACTGCATCTCTGTTAATGTCAGTAAAACTAATCCTTGGGATCCTGCCATAAACTCTTCACACATGGGAGGCTGCTCTGGCAGCTCTGGGCCCTTCCCCGCACGGGCTGAGGATTTATATCGTGGAATCGTGGAAAAGTTTGGGTTGGAAGGGACATTAAGAGCCACCCAGTTCCACCCCCTGCCATAGTGGGATTCTCGGGGCTGTGCAGGCCCAGCACATGGACTTGGTTGGTCCTGGTGGATCCAACTCATGATATTCTGGGATTCTGTACCCATTGGCTTACATAGTTCTCTTCATTAATTAGTATTCTATCTTCTACTGAAAAAAAGCGGGCTAATTAGCACGAGAAGTGAGAAATCAATAACCGATAGAAGACAGGATATTAATTAACGAGCGGTGGTTCTGTGCCCCCCTCATTCCGTGTTTTATACCGCTCCGTCGCCGGGCGGTTCCCGTCCCCTCAGGCGATGGCGGGAAACTCCCTCAGGAGCCCGCGCGGGGCCGTGCGCAGAGGCGGGAAGGCGGCGCCACCTCACTGCGCCTGCGCCGGGATAACGGTCCAGTGAGGGGGAGGCGTGGTCACACAAAGCCCCGCCCACAGAGACACGGCACCGCTTACCGTGGTGGGCGTGGCTTGATATTGACCACGCCCTGCGTGTGACGACACTGAAGGGCGTGGCTTGGTGACATCATCCCTCCCCCGTGGCTGGGTGGTGGGTGATGAGGGGGCGTCGCCTCCCAAGCCCCGCCGCGTACGGGCTGTGGCGCGGCCCCCCGTGAGCTGCGGCAGGCGCCGGGAGTGGCGGGATGACGAATGAGGGGCGCGGCTTGTTTAAAGAGGGGGGCGCGGTCTCGCCGAACCACGCCCGTTTCTTAGTGTGGCGCGCCCCGGATTGGCTGGACGGCGCCACGAGAGGCGTGGCCTCCTCCGCCACGCCCCCCTGAGGGCTGAGGCGGGGCCGGGCAGTGGCGCGGCGAGACGAAGCGGGGCGTGGCCTCGCCCAAGCCCCTCCCCCGTAATCTGTGGCCGCACTCGGATTGGCGGAGCCCGCCAAGGAGGGGGCGTGGTCTCTTCCCGGCCCCTCCCCGGGGGTCCCTGACGGCGCCCGGATTGGCGGAGCGGGGCGCGGATGGGGCGTGTCCTCAACAGACCCCGCCCCCGTGCCTGTGGCGGCCGCCGGAGCGCGGCGGCGGGAGGAGGAGGAGGAGGAGGCGGAAGATGGCGGCGGCCGCGGCGGCGGCGCTGCGGGCCTGGTTCTGGAACGAGCGGTTCTGGCTCCCGCACAACGTGACGTGGGCGGACCTGGCGGGCGAGCCGGGCGGCGGGCTGCAGTACCCGCGGGCCGCGCACGTCCTGTCCGCCTTCCCGCTGGCGCTCGGCATCTTCGCCGTGCGGCTGCTCTTCGAGAGGTGAGGCCCCTGAGGGGAGCTCGGGGGCACCGGGAAGGGGCTCCCCCGAGTGGAAAAGGGACGTCGGGTAACCCCGGCGAGCTGTCGCGCCGCTCGGCTCTGTCGCGACATGAGGGAGCCCCGGGGGGCTCCTGTGGGAGCGGGGTCTGAGGGGCCCCTCCAGCGCTGGGAAAGCGCCGCGTTTCGCGTAGAAATTCGCTTTTATTCGCTTTTATTCGCTTTTATCCCCTCCTGCCCGGGGGTGGCTGAGGGAGCCGAGCTTCCTTGCGGGTTTTTATTGCGCTTTTCCCCTGAGCTCCCGGAGGAGGAAACAAGGGCTCGTTCACACATGGCCCCGCTGTGTTATTAAACAATTTGCGGCTCTCCCGCGGGATGTGGGCGCAGATCGCCTTATCTGCCCCCGGACAGGTGTCATTCGGGATTCCCTGTTTGTTTGAACATCCACAAACACGAGATTAACTCACACACCCCCCCCGGGGCAGGGCTTGATCCGCGCCGGGGATCCCTCACCAGCCACGCGTGGGTGACATAGGCGCTAATTAGCAAAGCGGCTTAATTAAGAAACCCGTTAGGTGAAGCGGGCCCGAGACATTTCGTATTCCCGGTGGGGTGGTTCATTAAACATTGATTTAACCGTAAATTTCTGCGTTGAAACGTTTGGTCGGGTGGGATGGGCTGGGGGAAGGTGTCCCTGCCCCTGGAATTCTTTAAGGTCCCTTCCAACCCTTAGAAATAGAATATAGAATATTTCTATAGAATATTTCTAAGGGTTGGAAGAGACCTTAAAGAATATTCTATAAATATTTCTAAGGGTTGGAAGGGACCTTA